ACACACACACACACACACACACACACACACACACACACACACACACACACATACACATTTAGATTAGATGTTCAAAAGTTGACTCATCAGCTCATCAGTAGCTGTGAACTTGGACATGTTGGGACTCTGCTGCATGTTATCGCAGCGCTGCAGTTATCAGTCCGCGAATTCTCTATTTATCGTTCTTGTGACTTTGTTCTCGGATACATTTTAATCGTGTTACTCTGTACTGCTCTTAATTTGTCTGTGTTTCACTGCCTCCCAGGTATTCCAATGGCTTTACCTTCCTCCTCATGTACAAACCTTTACCAAACGTCCAGCACCCGGTAGCCGTCAGTAACACCAGTCTTGCCGTTCCTGACCTTCAGGGAAAGTGAGGCTGCCCAGAAGAACATGCGCTATTATCATTAAATAAGACAAGTGAGATATTTGTTGATTAACTGGATCCCCATTAGCTGACGCTCTTGGCGGCTGCTGTTCTCCCTGGGTCCACAGAAAGAACAAAACATACAATACATGACGTAAAACATACATTTAGAACAGTACAGTCTGAGACGGATGTATAGTAAATGGATAAATGCTAAATGGACTGTACTTGTAAACCTCTTTTCTAGTCTTCCAACCACTCAAAGCTCTTTAACACCACATGTCATCATTCACCATTCACACACATTCATACACTGATGACAGGGGCTATTGCAAAGTGCCACCTGCCCATCAGGACTATCTAACATTCATACAACATTCATACACCACAGGAACAGCCTGCGGGAGCAACTTGGGGTTAAGTGTCTAGTATTAGAACCGACCATATACATTATGCATCCATAACTCCTTCAAAGAAGGATCAGGAGTCTACAAAGGCAATGGAGTTCTAGTCATAAGCCTTAGGTGAGCCTTTAATTGTTTTTTAAATGACAGTTTGTTTCCACTCTCAGTTATATGAGGAGGTGGGGAGTTCCAAGCTGTTTTTAACGGTGATAACTGTGCGTTTGAAGAGGTTTGTTCTTGGGGTTGGAGGTATCCAGTGACCTGAACTAGCATTCCTTGTGTTATGTCTGTTGCATGTTTTTGTACTTGGTTGAAGAAATATTCAGGTGTCTGATTAAATACTACATTTCTGAAAAACATGAGAAAGCAATAAGAAGTTTCACTTTAACTGAGGACCATGACTGGCAGACTATATGCTCTATTTGTTCTTATTGAGCACTAGAGTGCCAATCTGGCCGCTCGGTTTTAAACTAGTTGTAGTTTATTGATGTCTTTCTTTGCTGCTGCATATTTATGGCCGGGGGACATAAATATGTAAAGCAGCATTTTCCCCCTCTGCAAAACATGACAAGTCAAGCGGCTGGACTTGCTACATATTTGTTGTCGCTGTGACAAGTCTTTGTCTTGTTTACACATGCAGACTCTCTTGCAGTTCAAAGAAATACCAGGCTTTTTCACAGTAGTGTTGGTGAGGCATCGTGCTGAAGGCAGAACCAGCACCAAGAAGTGCACGGAAGCAGGGGGACCCACAGGTGCTCAAAGAGGCTCAGAGAACCTTTAATAGTTGGACTAGAATATAATCAAGACCTTAACAATGTTCTACTGTGACGACCCCTCCCTTCCACCAGGGGTCTGTCCTGTTTGCTGTCTCTTTCATGTCTTTCAGGCTGTTCATCGTCAGCTGATGAGCCACAATGGAGCCTGGTGGGAGTGTCAGCTATAGCACCTGAACACGGATCTCAGCTCTCCTTTGGCTCACACAGCTGCTGATTTGTTTAGTTTAGTTTATGTGTTTTTTGAATAAATGTGTTTATTTATCACTTTTAACTCATCTGGTCTCCCATTTATGTTGCAGCCTTTGAGCCTTTGAGTCTTTCAGTTCACATGTGTCCCGTGCCGTGAGTCTGTCTGAGGGTCTGTAATGTCTATTACGTCATAATGACTGGCTACAGGCGTGGCTCCACATCCATTCACCCTTCCGTGCTGTCAGTCGCTAATTAAAAAATGCATGTTGGCGTTCTCTCCCAGTCTGCTGTGGAGTGTGGCCTGCTTCTCATTCTTCAGGGAAATTTGGAAAGTGGCCACTGCACCCCTCCCCCACCTCCACCCCATCCTGCTGAAAGTGCTGGTTCAAAGACTTCCTGACATCTGGCCACAGCAGTCATTGCTGGAGGGTGAATGGGGAAAGAGCGGGCAGGCTGTGGTCCTGGTTTACTGATATACAGGAAGTTTAGTTTCTTCAAAATGTAATGTTGCAAAAGATGAGCCAATCCTCTCCAAAAGAAGTCATTTTGTTTGGACAGCCAACATGCTATATATAATTAAGACAGTGTCAAAGCATTTAAAGGCCTATAAAGTGATATTGTATGAAAACCCCATGCTTGCAACGGGCTACATAAATACATTTGACATAAAAGCCTAATTGGCCAGAGGAAATGAGCCTCTGTATCCTGTTGCTTCTATTTAGTCTGTATTAACAGTGGTGTATAAAGTACCCAAAAGCCATACTTGAGTAAAAGTAAAGATACCTTACTGGAAAATGACTCCAGTAAAAGTAAAAGTCACCTATTAGAATACTACTTGAGTAAAAGTCTGAAAGTATCTGATATTTATTGTACTTAAGTATCAAAAGTAATTTTCTGATATTAAATGTACTTAAGTATTGAAAGTAAAAGTACAAGTAAATGCTGTTAATAAAAAAGCAAAGGGTCAGAATTTTGAGAATTATGAAGTTTATTCTTTTAAGTGCTGTGGCACCATGAACAAGGACATGGAGCTGTGTTGACAATAATTGGGTTGGCTGTGATCCATCCAGGAGCAACAATGTTCAACATAATATATTGTACATAAGTATACTTTTGCATCTACTATGAACTTATCATAATTCTCCTAAAAGCAATATGACACTATGAAGGAGTTGTAACAGTGCGTTTATAAGTATGCTCATTCCGACTAGATGTAGAGGGCAAATGCATAATATTGTGTTCAGCAAAAAATATCCACTTGATGCATCAGGTCAGTGTTGTGAGAAAGGACACCTGCCTTGTAAACTCCTATGGGTCTGATTTGAACACAATGGGCAAAGGTTTTGCTCAAGCTGAATCTGCAACCATCATAACTCCATCTGATCATCCACAAAATGACTCAAATATCAAAACATGATCAATACTAAAGCAGCACCGAAAGTAACAACCCAGTCATTACTTGAAACTGAAAAATGTCCTGTTCATCTTCAAAAGACAATTCTAATACAATGTAGCTTCTTTACATTAAAGAAGCTACATTGTATTAGAATGTAGCTTCTTTACATTCTATCAGAATGTAAAGAAGCTACATTGTATAGAATGATTCTATTGAAGTTATTCATTTTTTAAATGTTTTAGACGAGTCACTAATCACTTTAAAAGAGTGATTATAGCTGATTTAACTTACAGACATGAGATTGATCTTCTCATGTCCCTCTCTTTATACAATGATATAAATTCATCCCGTTTTATTGATATCTTACGAAAAGTTACTCCTCACTTTTCGTGCGTTTTTCCTGCAAAAGTCCAGCAACATGAGTCTGTTTTCGCTTGTTACATGCATACTGTCTTTTCAAAATAAACTTCCATCTTCACAGGAAACAACTAAGGTTTACGCAATGAAACTACTTAGTTAGGTTTAGGAAAAGATCGTGGTTTGCGTTAAAATATCTACGGAAGTGGCGTTGCTTAAGTACGGAAGTCACGTCACAAATAAATCAACATTGGCTTCTCGTTTGACACACGGCACAAACTGCGGCCTCCTGGAGGAAACACCAGTGTTTGTTTGACCCATCCACCTCTCCTCATCCCACCCGTCCTGTGTGGAATTCTACTCGTGTTGTCGCCCGCTAGCTATAGCATATAGCATCCTGGGCATCAAAACACCGCGGCTTTGAGAGCACTTGTTTTGCGCATTAACGTGATTAACCAATGATTTAACTTGCACGCTAGGACCACTGATTCATCAAACCTGCTTGCTTGCAGTCTCTGTTCCACCACAGTCCCCGACGCTGGTCTCATGATTCATTTTGTTTCTAAAGATAGATTTGATTTTGTAGCGAGTAACGAAGGTTTCAGGGGAAATGTATCGGAGTCAAAGTATCAGTTTTCTTTGCAAAATGTAGTGAAGTAAAAGTAAAAGTCAACAGAAATATAAGTAGTAAAGTAAAGTACAGATATCCAAAAAAACGACTTAAGTACAGTAACGAAGTATTTCTACTTCGTTACTATACACCACTGGGTATTAAGTATACATTTCTTTGGTCATAAATATTTCAAATAAAATGATACAAATGTGTGCGTGCAGCTTTTTGGCCCAGGTTCAGCCACTGCATTAAATCCGGCCCTAAGATAACTTATCCAGAGAGATGGATCACGCTAGATGACACATTACAGTTATAGTATCAAATCAAAAACAAATGTGGAAGGTCAGAAAGAAAATATTATAGAAAGCCATGAATCATATAAGCTTACAATAAGCTTGTGAAATAAAAAAAAATGTACAAGAGACTAAACTAAAACTAGGCAACTCTTCTACATTATTAAAAACACAGGGTACAGTCATAGTGCCTCGTAATAGACTACACAGAGATAAATACAATAAACACAGAGATATGAGGTAACACAACACTACAGAGGGTAATACTGAGATTTTGGACGTTGGAACAATACTCGTGTAATAGATCAAATGTTATGAAATAGCTATTCATAGGTGCATTCCTGTTTAAATATATTGTTGGTGAGTCATAGCTCCAGCATTATGAGGCTCTTTACAATGAAAGCAAAGGAAGAGAGGCTTGTTCAGGCACTTTGTAAAAGGTCGATATTCAGAGGCACATAGGGGGGGTACAAAGTAGTGTTCTAACAAGATTACTCACAGGAACAAACTGCGCATTTTAAGCAGATAACGGGAACAGCCTTAGCACGGCACCGCACGGGTTACCTCCTGTCGTTCTGCAATATTCCGCTTTGTCTTCCTCACAGTGCGTGTTAAGGACAAAACCGCAAAAATACATGAGAAGGAAAAAGAAGAAAGGGCAAAGCTTAGAAATAGTTCCCACTGTCCGTTGGGGAGGCGCGCAGTTAATCAGAAGGGGACCGGAAGCTGAGTGAATTCGCCTTCAAAATAAAAGGGTAGGGTTTTCTGTCACGTTCAGGCCTGACCATATAAGCACAGTTTTTTGATGGCATTCTTTATAATGCAAGTGACATAATTCAGAATGGAAAAAAATACAATAAGTGTAAGTGGATATTAGCTACCATGTAGCCTACATGCTGAAAATATACATTCTATATTACATCTACAATATCATAGACCATCTACAACATACTAGTAGCCCACACTATATGATGACATAAATAACTTATGACAAAAAATAAATATACAATTACAAATATAAAGAATATTATAAAATGTGATAATGATGCAAACCATCAAAGAAAATATATCAAATAGAGCTCAGTATAGTTTGCTGTTGTTCTGCTGGTTTTCACTTGGAAATGTCAGTTTTAGCCCATGTTGATAACACCTTCTTCCAATTCTTCCATTCTTCCATTTCCTTCCAAATCGGACTCCTTTTTATTTCATATTTTTCTTTTAGTAGAGGGGTTCGAACCGTTGCCATTACATTTGATTGCAAACTCCTCTTATTTTGCATATATTATTGTGCATATATTCTTTAATAAATTGTTTCCAACATTCAGTTCTCCTTTGTCCTTCCTTATCATTGTAGTATATACAGTCATTGTTGTTTGTTTTTCGTTACATCCTGAATAACTAGCCTACATTTGTAAAAGTAGGCCTAAATTCTACATTGGCGAAAGTGAAGGAATGTACAGCTGATTTGATGTAAAGGTCTTGTAAATGACAGAAATATTAATCACGTGCATTTAGCTTATAGGTTACTGGAATCAAGCAATATGACCTCTAAAGAGTGTTACGTCACGACCTCTGAGTTTTATTTTGAAACTCACAACCGGAACCCAGGTATTATGGCGTGCGTAGCTTGACGCTGGTACCTGTCAAACAGTCCCCCGTTCTCCTCGGTGTGTTCCCGAAATGCCGGTTGGCTTCAGACTAACAGGGCTAAAGACTCACGGCAGTGTGCTGGCTCTCACAGAATGTATTCAAACTTGACCTTGCGTCCCCGGCACACTTAACGGATTGCTCACCGGTCCCGGGGGATTTCTTCTTCTCCGCAGCGCCCTGCATTACAACGGAATGGAAGCTGAATGGAAGTCGGACGTGGATACAGGCTGATGGACCAGGAACAACAGGAGGAAGAGCAGCCCGCTGTAGACTGATACAGTGCTGATCGCCGGCATGACCTACTTAGCACAGAGCTTGATGGACGTGTCTTCAGGACATCTCTGCTGCTGTATGGATACATTGATGGACGTGTCTTCAGGACATCTCTGCTGCTGTATGGATACATTGACGCGCTGCTCAACCTTGTAACACAGTAATAAGTGACCTTCATTTTGATTTGCTGCTTCAGAACTGTCCACAAGACACGTGAAGTCGCTAAACAAACAGAAGCATCCACGCAGACCATATCCTATGCAAAGTAGGGGAACTAAATAAAATGCACGAAAAGCAGTGCATGCTGGATGTTTTGCTGACGTTTTTCTTGGGGTTTAAGAGAAAACCAAAAGGAAAAATTAACCAAGCAGGTGGCCCAGGGATTCTGGGTACTACTCTCTGCCCTGCCTTTTTCTGTCTGTCTGACTATACACCAGCTCTGCTCTTTGGACTAGTCGACAGCTCGCGGGGCCCACAGTGGAGCCAAGGATCAAAAGTCCTGAGAAGAGCAGGGCTGAAAGGTCTTTTTTAAGCCGGAGGAGCCTGCAGATGCCTTATCTACTCATTAGCAAGAGAGTGTATGGGGATCACTTACTATGCTGTGATTAGCAATAAAGTCATCAGCCAACCAATAAACACTGAAGTGCTGTGCAGGAAAAGACAGATTCAAATAAACTTTTTTGACCGTCAGCAAACTGAACATTATGCTACTGAACTGTGGCCAGCCGTTACCTCTTCTGAGGCATACGGATGTGCCGCCGCGTGTCATAGAAAACTTCATCCTGACTGGCTACCGCTTTCCAAACTACAGCCTAAGGGATTGCTTACTATCGGCATTCAGGCCCACCAATGAAACAGGCAACTTCTGGACACACTTCCTCCCAGTTTTTATTTTTTCATACTATTTTGTGGAGGTGTTTGGTTGGGAAGGTGCGCCAAATGGTGACGCCCCGTTCTTCTATCCGTTGTGGAACTACTTTATCGGGGTGTTCTGTCTGTTAATGGCTAGCAGCATGGCCCACCTGCTCAACTCAATGTCTCTGGTGGTAAGAGAAGTCTGCTTCTTTGTGGATTACGGCACTATCAGTTCCTACACCGTTGGCTCATCATTGGCGTACTACTACTACATCCACCCTCGGGCAGGGATAGTAGAGACGGGAGGCCGAAATGGCTCCCATATGGACTTGAAACTTGAACCTGCAGGATCTCTTACATCATCCTATGCAATCCCAGATTTCTCTGTGTTTTTTGAGACCTTCTACATCCCGACCGCATGCGTTGTAGCAATCATTTGCGTCATATCTTGCTGCAACACTCGCCATAGGTGGAGGCGGCATCGGTACGTCATCCGAACCTTTGTTTTCCTCCTCCCGTTCCTCATCTCCTCCACGCCAGTCTTCTACCGCCTCCTCACTAGATCGCCTTACTCTACCACCTCCTCTTTCGCGGCTTCCACCTCCACGGCCAGCTTCTTCCATCGCCACTGCCTCTGGCTGCTGGTGTCGGCCGTCTTCAACATCAGCAAGTTCCCCGAGCGGCTAGCTCCGGGCCGCTTCGACATCTGGGGGCACAGCCACCAGTGGTTCCACTGTTGCACGTTTTTGTCCATCCTCGACGAACTCCACATGATCAAGACCGAGGTGAGGGCAATCCTGCTCAGCCCAACTCTGCTTTTGCCCCCTGCAATCCTCTCCCGCCTACCAGGACCTACCATAGCTTCCACCTACGGGGTGATGTTCCTCCTCCAGACCACCATCATCTCCATCATCGTGTGGTTCTCCTGGCATGCCACCAGCATCTATGGACCCCAGAGAGACCAGCTGGAAAAGGAACACCCCAAGAAAACCCTGAAATGCCACTGATCACAAAGACATCTTTTTTTTTTAATCCCAACTGCGAAGGAAGGTTTGCACACGCATACAGAGCCATGCCACAAAGACAAGTAAAACAATATTTCTCTCCTAATTTCAAGTCCCTCATATGTTCCAATCCCTTCAACAGCTTTTTTTTTTCAAGCTTTCATGAGCAGAAATCTGGGACGATGGGAGATGAAAGGATTATATTCTGAGCTCACCGCAGGGTGGCTGTCTGGTTGAGTGGATATTGAACGTCCTAGCCAGTTCTTTCCCCTGAGCTCATCCAGCATGTTCCAACAGGATGTCTGAGCTGTGGCGATAATAACTACCTCCAGGGACTGTATACTTGAGGACACTGGAAAGGTGTTGGTACCCAGAAGAACTGTTCCATATAACATGTGGGTAATGTGGCGTAAATGTAAGCGTGAGCATTTACAGAAGTTGCTGTTGTCAAGTAGTTCCTCCTGTTCCACTTCCCCTTCCCTCTGACCTTACACAGCATCTTCTGAAAAGCCTCTGCTATGGTTGCTGTTGGAACTTTTGTTTCACATTGAATGAATCCTTTTCTGGCCTTTGTTGACCACACCGTATCTTCCTCTTGACGCCCACACGCAGTCTCATTTCCTCTCTTTCCAAGTGACACTTGCAGCAGGAAGTGCGGTGGCCTTGACGACGCAACAGAAATAGCTGAGAGCTCATATGAGTCGTAAAGTAAAGCACGTTCAGGGGGAAGCCATTAAGAAGCCATGTTCGCTTTGTTCACTTTTAAGAAATTCTTTTTCTCTCTGTGACTGTGCCAATTGTCTGTGTCCATGTTTGTCATGTGTTTCATATAGAAGCACAGTGTCCAGAGAGAAGGGGGAACGCTAACGGTATGCTAACGTCAGTAATGGATCAAAGAAGAATTCTTTTTGCTAAAATGCGTTTTTCGTCTTCAACAAAATCAACGTGGTGGTTTCAAGACCCATCTGCTGAAGTGTCCACGAACAAGACACTTGGTGCTGCTGTGTACCCGAGCCAGTCCTCCCTGATGAGGGGAGAGGAAATAGGATTTGTATAGAGAATTATACTTATTCCTTTGTTCTGAGTTCATGCGCACACTGAAAATGGACCATGACTATTTGCGCTCGGACGAAGATTCATGTGTTTTCTCTGCATGTTTTTATGTAATTGTGTCATGTCCTCAGTGATTTTGTCCTGTCAAGCTGTCTGTCTCTGAGGGAGTTGCATCTTAAATTTTTACCTCCCACATCGCATTGACATGTTGAAATCATGTTGGTCACTGTCGCATTTCAAAGATGTTACGATTACCACTGTATTAGTTCTACTTGTATCTGCACATTAACTTGTGTTTCTTTTTCATTCACTTGCTTAGAGATGAAAACTGAGTTGTTAATTATGTATGACACCGCAATGATTGTGGTTGTGGTTGTGATACTCATGCTGTTATGGTGCACTTTAAAGCTTCTTCAAAGATCCTCAGAATGTTCCTTTAAGGGAACCCTGCAGTACTGTATTATTTCAGAACATTTCAGGTTTAAGTTGTGCTTTCTAAGGAATAGTCAGATTCATCGGGTAACAATGCATCCAATGTTGAAGTCATGCTTCTACCTCTATAGAGCATGTGTGTCACTGTAGCGATGACAAGAACCAACGCTGAACTGGATCTCGTCCCGTCCCCAGTCTAGATGCCAGACTTGAATCTATCGATGTTAGAGTTCAGTATATGAATGTGAGACTTACACACTGCTGTACCTAACCCAGTCAAGTACTCAGGGGTGACTGAGGAACGACACTAACCTGTTATTTACATGCATTTAGATGATACATTACTGGAGGATGATTAAAGAATCTGTGTCTGTTATTGATGATTCAAATAGCACTAATATGGATGATTGAGTTTAATAAATAAATTATGCAGAGAACTATTATCAGTGTGGCAATTTATTTATTTCCCTGTGTAGATGTTGATCAGGAGGCTTGACATGGCTCTGGATTCTACTGTTTAACATTCGTTCCAGAGGGAATATCTGGACAACTGGATTTCCAGGAAGTTTGGTTCTTACATTCATGATCCCCAGAGGAAGAATCCTAAATACTTTAATTATCTTTTTTTTACTTTTCATCTAGTGCCACTAACAGGTTAAAATGTTGTCTCGTACAAACAGCATACTTAGACAACAATAGCATCTAACAATAAAACATTAGCATGTTAACATGTAAACTATGGTTGTATTTCTGTACTACTTTATGCTAACATTTACGTAGTAACATGCTAAATGGTCCACTCCAAGCAAACAGGGCCGTACCATTTAGAACAAGGAGGTAAAGATCTCTGTATGCCTCTGCACTGCTGACTGCTGTGGCCGGAGACATTATGTTTTGGGGTTTTCTGTCTGTCTGAACCATATACGTGAATATCTCAAGACTGCTTTGAGCAAACCATACATTTGGACTTGAGGATGAACTGATGAGATTTTCATGGTTCAAGGTCACTGTAACCTCAAAAAGCACGTTTTTGGCCATAAATCAAGAATTCATGCTAAATTCTTGACTAAATAGGATAAAATGATGAAGGGATGACATGTTGGACAGACATGAATGTAAACTGCAACTTGACTGGTTGGCAGAATAAATTAAAAAAGTGAGGCGGGAATTCTTGTTTGTTGTGGGAGTTTAGTAACCTGGGAGGATTTATGTTCTACAATTAAAGGATCACACTTGGTGGGTATGTTAAAGACAATTTTTTAGACTTAATACATTGAAAGTGAATATTAGAAACAGCAACAATTATATTGTCCAATTATATTCCTGGCAGTGTGGAGAAGACTTTAAAAACAGCATTTCAAGTTGGGAAACAAAAAAGACATCTAAACAATTCACTAAATTGAGTAGATGAGTAAAATGTAAAAATGCAAATACATTTTTGATGCTGTATTTTCAATGTCAACATGTTCTGGGGTGAGGTGGTTGTGGCCCTGCACAATAGCTTACTTGCTAACATTAGCACTGAAAAATGAAACCCGGTGCTTCCAAAGGGAGACATGTGCTGGAACTTCTTCTTGGTGAACAAGAGTCCAGTGCGTTGGCTGTGAGCGGTTTCCTGAAATGTTGTCATCACTGTGAGGTTGCCAGGTTTGGAACCATTGTAACTGCACAGAGGCCCAAACCACAGCTTTTCTTATTGTATCTGGCAACCAACACTATAGCTGGAGACGCTGCACATGCTGGGTGGAGGAATAATGTTCGTCAAGAAATAGTTCCAACTATTAACTCTATATAGCTAAATTGTTGTTTTTACACTATTGTTATGGTTCTATATGCTAAGCTAGGCTAACCAAACATGAGACTATTTTTCTTCTCATCGTGGAAAAAAAGCATATATTAGTCAAAAGGTTCATCCAAGTTCAGCCTGACCAGTTTGTGTCACATGTCTTAAAATGGCCACTGTTGTGTTTTCGGGTGTGTAATGAGCAGCAGCTTGTCAGAGCTGCTGTGGACTTTTAGACTGAAAGGGTTAAGCGCACTGAAGTCTGTGGTTTTTAAAAGGTTTGAATAATTTAAATGTTTTCAAATGAGTTGTGTTCATTTGCAAGTCCAGCGCTCCTTCTGACCGTGTGAGGGTGCACATGCTGTATGTGTGCTGGACCTTGGCAGGCTCATGCGTTTGAGCGACACGTGCAGCCGGCTCCTCCCCTCCTCCCCCCGCCTTTTATATCCCTCTGTCCGTTTTTACTTTGACGTCCTGAGCCGCGATCAAACATCCGGTGAAACAAGACCCACAGAGAGAAGATCCACCTCTTAGTAGAGTAGTAGAAAAAAGTTAATCTGCTAAATTACATTTATTGTAAATCGCTTTGGATTAAAGCTAAATGACTGTAATGTAATGTAATGTAAATGTGGTAATAATTCAGTAACGAGAGTAAATGTAAGTGAGTCCAGAGTGAATGAATGAGGAAGGTGAAGGTGTCAGATAGCACTGTGGTAACAACCTGCCACACAAAGTTCATCCTCCCCCCATGTTAGTATCACGCTGCTTTTATTATGCAGGCGGCCGTACAACATACTCTGCTTTCATTGTTTTCTCCAGCTTTTTAATAAAAAACAGGCAGATTTGGTATTCCTGTGGATCTTGCATTTAGTTAGAATTAGAATAAAAAAGGTACATGGCATATATATGTGTTGGTAACTTTAACCCACCAGAATTGAAACTATTACTTATTGAAACTATAACTTATTTAAAAGTGTATTTAAAAGAAAGGTTATGGCCTGTTATATTCTCTGATGGATTTAGAAATGGAAAGTTTTAAATGAGATGAAAACATCTCTAAGTGAGTTCTTCTGACTCTGGACTGTATTTCTGTGGATGTTACTTCAGCTAAAAGCCGCTGGTTTTTGATGCAACAATATTTCAAGGTTCAAGGTAGGATTGTTGTAAAGTTTGGTCTGTTTTTGATCGATGTAGTCTTTTTAAAGCAAAACTATCAACTTCACATTTCATTTTGGTGAAATTCATGATGTGGACTTAAGTTTTAGACTTTAGATTCATCAGATGGTTTCCGTTTTAAACTCTTCCGGCCTCACATGAAACAATCTGTCGTGCATGTTTGTCCATTTCAATGCATTAGATCTCAAACACTTAGAGGTTCAATGTTCAGAGTCGAATTGAACAGTTGTTCTCGTAGAAGCATTTGATGGAACAGCAGAGCTGGTGAGTTTGAACGTGGCCGGTCTGACTGTTCTCCTGGTTGATGTCGTCTGGCTGTTAAAGTCAGGAAGCTTCAGACGGGTTCTTCATGAGAGCTACTGGATCTCTTGTGTTTGTTTGATTGCTTGTATATATTCTGCATGAGTTTGTGAGTTCTTCATCACAGTGTGATGAAGAACTACAGCACGGCTTTAAAAGTTTGTCTCTTTCATTCAGCTCAATGAAGAACAGAATCCATAGCAGCGTGAGGTGAATCAGCTTGTATCACTGTGATGTGCTTCAACTCTTTAGAGGTGCTGCTTTGTGTTTGTCACAAACGCAGCTGTTTGACATGTGTTAGTGTGTGCACTCTGTATACAATCTGGACTCTGGTGAGCAGAAAGAAGCAGCACTGAGTTTAAACAACAGAACAGCAACTTTTGTTCTGTGGATTTTACTCTCAAGGAAAGTCAGCAATTGTCAATGCAACATATTTAAAACTTCAAGGTCACATTGTTTTTGAGCCATTTTCCTATTTCTGGTCCACCTGGGCCATTTATAATAATGCACGTAGAACCTCATCACTGTAATGCACAGTCATGATATTTACACGTCTGTCTTCAGGACCAACTGGGCCATCAGAATATATAATCTACAGTGATGTCACATGAATGTATAAATAGTAATATCACCATGTATAAAATAGATAAGCCTCATGATGCAAGCTTATGATAGACTGTTTCACAACAAGTATATAAAACAGTTCTACTTACAAGAATATAAAATACTCATGAATATCAGAATCAGAATTGAACATACAAGGAATTTGACATGACGGGTGGTGCATAACATTAAACAATCAACAACAATCAACACAGTGCAACAAATAGAAACATATTCAAATTTACAGAAAAATATAAAATAAAGTGAAATATAAAATAATATATTTAAATAATATAAAATATCAAGTTTCTATTAAACAAACAGCAAGATACATTTGAGCACGTATGTTAACACAAAGGATGAAGATCTACTGAGTAGAAGCACTTATGCATTTACACAATATACCAGTGGTGGGCTGTCAGGGCCAGCAAAGCCTTCCCTGCTGGCCTAAACAGAATCACAAAGTTATAGCTATTTTATCATTTAATAATTTTTCAGAAATACACTACATGTATTATAATTTGTTTTTCCATTATCTTATTTTCTCATTGCACAGCTACTGTCTTCCTCTGTTGCTCTGCTTCCAGCACAACTTGTTTTAAGGAGAGCTTTTATCCAATCAGATTCAGCACCCATGTCTCTATGTAGGCCTAAGGAGAGAGGCCCGATGCCCTAGAGAGCCTTTGCAGTTTAAGTGAATGGGGACGATATTGTTGATTGTCATAGTCTTCAACCAATCAGATCTTTAGTTTAACATGTTGGGCGTATTCTTTGACGTGCCAGTGGTACCCAGGTAGTCTCCTAAGTACGTCTGCATTAACGTGTGCCGTGATTGGTCAGTGGGCCAGCGTGAATTTTGTCAAACAGGAAGCTAGCTAGCAGATCTTAGTGTTTGGTAAGAGTTCAGGTTGAAACATATGTAAGAGAAGTTATGACATTTTTAGTGTTTTGCTTGGTGTAGATTCTTTTCTTTATACCTAGCTTTGTTTTCTGAACACTCAATGGCTGAAGGAGGAGAAACGGATTTCTGGAGAAGGACATTTCAGGAAAAACTGGACATCGTATCAAAGGGTCGGCCAACCCCACAACTAGCAGCCCTGACCCAGCCAGGAAAAGGATTTCTATCAACGGTATTTCTGGCTGACAGCGTCGGAGAAGCGTTGCACATTTTATGGCTAAGAATGCCTTTCATTTGCAACTGAGCGTCTTGGTGTTTGGAGCTGTTTGGAGCTACGCTACGCTAACCAAGGCAGCTACACGACAGGACACGCACAAACTCAAAAAGTTTCACCGATTCCTAAACTGAGAACACTTTAAATGGTTTTATGGGGATGAATCAAAAGAAAAATGGTCAAGTAAAAGTTTTCTGACCTGCACGGCTGTTGTCCAACTGTCGGCCCGCTCCCCTCAGCAGGTGCTCCTGCTCCTTCAGCGGATGACTGTGAGCCATTTTCAGGCTCTTCTGTTGCCCACGATAGTAGTGATCCAGTAGTTTAGTTCTCCAACAAGTTCCGTATCAAGTAGATTTTCTCCAGCAGTTCAAAATTCAAAGAGTTCGCTCTCCACAGTTTGGATTCAC